GCAGACAAATGTGGTTGTAGTAACTTGGATTCTAAAGGTTAAAAATAAGCATTAAGTTAATCTCTTAAAGACCATCATTATTTTGCAGTCCAGCCAACTGAGAGTATGAACAGTTACACCAATAAAAACTCAGGGAAAAAGCAGATTCCCTCCTCCTCCTTTGTCCAATTCTGCCATTTCCCAACAGGCAATTCCCCCCTTTTTTCCCCAGTTTTTTTCTCTCCTACACCTCTGATTACAACACCCACCAACGTGGTGGTGTCAAACACACACCAAGAATTTGGCTTTTCTGGGATGAGGATTGAACAAATTAACAAAAAAGGGCGATTGTTGAGGTTATTTCCACTTTTACAAAGCACTTTGGGCTGGGGGAGAAGCTCCAAGACAACTTTTAACCACAGATTCTGCCGCTGCCGCTCGCAGTTTCCAGTTTTCCTGGAAAACAGGTGACTGAGCTGGAATTCCACCCCCTCCCCATGTTTTACCTGGGTGGTCTGTGCATATCCTTGGGCTGGCTGAGGTGCATAGGCGCTGTAGCTGTGGAATGAATGTAAAGACATTTATAATCTTGCCCCAAATCTGCATCACCACACAAATTTTCATGCAGCCCAACGGTTTCTTGCCGAAATTCTATGGGAATACAAAGCTCCAGGAAAACCCTCAGGATTCCCAAACATACCTGAGTTAAGCCCAAGCCATAATTATGATTACTTTCATTACATCTTTTTAAAACAGGGAGGATAAGCTACTTACCCCTGCTGAGCTGCAGCTTGGCTATAGGTACTGTAATCTGAAAGAAAAAGAGAAGAAAAAGAATAAAAACGTTGCTAAAGGCTTAATAAAATTAAAGAGTCCAAGAGCACAGCAGCTGGAATTTCCTCCTGCAGCTCACTATAAACCACTGGAATTCCAGCTTCCCAAGGGTGGAAGGTAAATGCACATTTTCAGTCCTCCTTTTTGAGGGGAACAAAACCTCCCTTCCCCTCATTGTTCCTGCTGTTTGCAGCAGCCACTTTGATCTCAAATGACCCCGGTTCAATTTAACTGCCACCTTGGATGGATCCCAGGGGGCTGGCAGGGGGGGATTTGGGCTGGAACAAAGGAAAAGCAGGGATGTGAGCCTTACAAACCCACCACCCTGCTCTGAAAGGGCTGGGCTGGAAGGTTTCACCACCTTCACTCTTCCCTTTCAAGGACACAAATGGATGGCTGGAAAGCCACTTGTCCCCTGGAAGGGCTGGAGCTGGGGAGATGGGAGTGATTCCCTCCCCAAATCCTCAATCCATGGCAGCAACTGACTGGGAGGAGAATCAAAATCCTGAAAATCCCAGCAGCAAAGCCTGCTCTGAACTGATTTGCTGGCAGGGATGGGAAACGAATCCACATGGCAATTAGGAGGCTAAATTTGAAACGACTGCAGCTCCCAGGTCCCTCACAGGCAGCAACAGCTCCAGCTCCCATCCCAAGGCCTGCAGCAGGGATGAATTCACCACTCCCAGCAGGCCTGGCCAGAGATGCCAGCTCTGCCAGGAGCACAGAAGGCCTGGCATCAGGAATGAGCCCAGAAGCTCCTGGGGAGGCCACAGCCAGGAGCTGGGTCAGTGGAGCTGTTCCCAGCCACCCCTGTGTGGAAGAGTTCCCACTGCTCCCATCACCACCACAGAAATCCAAGCATCTCCCAGAATCGTGGAATATCCCAAGGTGGGAAAGACCCACGTGGATCAAGTTCAACTCCTGCCTTGGAGAATTTGAGGAAGCAAATTCTGCCTGGCTGTGATGCCATTATCCCACTATTCCCAAGGCCACGGAGCCCCAGGAATCCCTTGGAAAACACAGCTTCCATCCAGCACAGCCTCCTGCTCCTCAGCCATCCCTGCTCAAGCCTTCCTGCCCAGCCTCCAGGTGTGCTCCCAGCTTCTCCTGCTCCTGTGCAGGAGCAGAGCCCCTGGATCCCTGCTGCAGGCAGGAATGGCCCTGCTGTGATCCCAGCAGGAATTCCTGGCAGTTATTCATTCCTCTGACCTTGCCCAGAACACCTCACACACAGAAAGAAGACACTTGGAGTTCTCCAAAGCTTTCCCTGCTCCCAGGACACAAGGCACAAGTTGTTAAACTCCTCTGGCAGCATTCCCACCTCCCTCTCAGGTTGGCACATGGGCTACTGGAACATTTTCCTTGTTCAGTTCATGGTTCTGGGTTTAGTTTTCTTTTTTCCCTTCACTTTACACATGATTTTGTTAAATCCTGAGTGTTAATTAATGCCTGGTCCCACTCATCCAGCTTCCCTTTCCTACCACTCCACTCTTTTCCCTGCTCACCCTCCAGCCACCAAAACCTCATTTAATTCTCCATTTTCAGCCCCATTTTGGCCTCCAGCTCCACACAGGGGTATCAATTAACCCCTCTCCTCACAGCCCTCCCCCAGTCCCACCTAAACCCAACATTTCCCCCTCTGTAGGATTTAATTCCAGGTGTGGAATTTGCAGTTTGCCTGTGGTGATGCCTCCCCTTTAATTTGCTGGGATTTAGAGGAACATAGAACATTAATAAAAAATAATATTATGGTTCATTTAGTTAAACCCATCTCCTGGCTTTTATTTCCAGGGGGAAATTAATCTTCATCCTTTTATTTCACAAGGCTCGGGAGCACACCAGAGGCTGAAAATAGCAGCTCCCAGGAGGAACAATTCCATGAATTAAGGGAAAACACAGCTGTGCTTTTAACTCCCATCCTGACAATTCCGTTGGCAGATGTTCCTTTACTGACTTTTCTTTTTCAAGCTCCCCAAGGTGCTGTTGGTGATATTCCCTCACACTCCATGGCCTGGGAGATTTTCCTTGCTGGAAAAAAGGAAAATCCTCCTTCTTTTTAAAGAGTCAGATCTTGGGCTGCTGGGCTTTCAAGTACTTTAAAGGTGTACTGAGCTGGGGAGTCTCAGTTTCCAACTATTTGTACCCAGCTGCAGACCTTGTGGAAAGACGTTTCATTCAGAAATATCTGAAGCCATGGAGATGATGGAACATCTCCCTTCCCTATGGGAAAAGCTGGGAGAGGAGAAGGCTCCAGGGAGAGCTCAGAGCCCCTTGCAGGGCCTGAAGGGGCTCCAGGAGAGCTGGAGAGGGACTGGGGACAAGGGATGGAGGGACAGGGCACAGGGAATGGCTTCCCACTGCCAGAGGGCAGGGATGGATGGGATATTGGGAGGGAATTCCTGGCTGGGAGGCGCTGGAATGGAGATCCCAGAGGATGCTCCATGCCTGGCAGTGCCCAAGGCCAGGCTGGCCGGGCTCGGAGCACGCTGGGGCAGTGGGAGGCGTCCCTGCCCACGGGATGAGCTTTCAGCTCCCTTCCCAGCCCAGGCACCCCAGGGCCCCAGGTTCGCTGCCCGCCCGCCCGGCAGGGCCGAAGGCGCGGAGGGAGCCCCGGCTCGGTACAGCGCTCCCGGGAGCGCGGAGCTCCGGCAATCCCGCGGGGCCGCAGCACCGCGAGGCCGCAATTGCCCCCCGGGACACTGAGGGGAAACACCCGCGGCCCCGGCGAGGCCCCGGCGGGCGGCGCGGGGGGACACGGCCGAGACGGGCCCTGCACGGCCCGACCCCAGCGGCCCCCGGGCGCGGCGCTCTCGTCCCCCGCCCCGGGCCCGGCCCGCCCCGGCCCCGCTCACCCGTCGACGCCATTTTCTCGCCTCCCTCCTCCGCGCTGCCCGCCCGGCCCCGCCCCGCGCCGCGCATGCGCCGCCCGGCCCCGCCGCGCGCACCACCCCGCGGCCGGGGGAGACGGCCGGGAAAACGCGCTCCGGGGGCTCGGCCCGCCCCGCTCCGCCGCCCGCCCGTCGGTTCCACCGTCCGCGGAGAATCGGGAGGGCCCCGCGGGCAGCGACCGCCGCTGCGGAGCGCGGTTCTGCCGCCTCGCTGGGCGCTCCCCCCCCGCCGGGCGGCGGGATGGTACGGCCCGCGGCCGTTAGGGACCGTCGCGCAAGAGGCGCTCGGGCCGCGAGGCGGAGCGGGGAGCGCGGCGGGGGCGTGACGTCATGGTCGGCCTAGTGATGTCATTGCGGCGTAACGGGGGCCGCGGGGCCGCTGTGTCGTCACACACCGTGCCCGGCGGCACGCGGTCAGCCCTGGGTGTCACGCGGTCGCCTGACGGCGGCTCCTGGCACGTGAGGTCAGTGGGTGTCACCTGCCAGCGGGTGACGCCGTGGGCTGTATGTGACGTCACCAGGTATCACAGGTCACGTGCCAAGAAGCGGCCCCGGTGGTTGGGGTCCCGTGCTCTGCCTGGTATTGCACGCTGCTCACGTAATGAGTGCGGTGGAGTGACGTCACTGTGTGACATCCCTGTGTGATGTCATCATGTCCCATGAGGACACGGGAGAGGTGCAGGTACCGCGTGTCCTGCGCGGATTTGGGGGGTGCTCCGGGGTGTGGTGGCACAGCTGGGTGTCCCACGGGTGGTGTCATTCCGGTGGGTGTCCCAGGGGTGACAGTGCATGGATTGGTGTCACATGGCGGGTGGGTGTCCCATGGCACACCCATGTGTCCTTTGAGCATCCCTGACCATCCCATCCCATCCCATCCCATCCCATCCCATCCCATCCCATCCCATCCCATCCCTTCTTCCTCACCCCATCCCATTCCTTCCCTTCCATTTTCCTTCCATCCCACTCCATCCCTTCCCATTCTATCCTCCTCATCCCGTATCCCATCCCATGCCATCGGTGCCTGTGTCCCCTGGGATGTCCCTGGCACACCAAGTGACCCCACAGGACACGGATTTGGGGACATTTAATGACCTGGCGGGTCCCAAAGCAGCGAAGCGCGCGGCGCAGCGGGGTCCCCGCCCGGGGGGTCCCCACCGCCAGCCCCCCCAGTCCCCTCCCCCCAGGCTGGTGGGGGATGGGATGGGACAGAACCCATCCCCCCGGAGCTGCACCGTGGCGGGGGGACAGAAATGGCCTTGGGGACACCCCTGGCCCTCCCGGGGGCCCAAGCAGCGGCGATGGGGGCGAAGCGTCGTGCGGGGGGCGGTGCCGTGCCACCAGTAGCACCAAGAGGGGGGACGGGGGTGACCCCATCCTGCTCCCCAGGGTGGCACGGCGGGGTGGCCGGGGTGACGCCCCCGTCACGGCTCGGGGGGGGCGCGGCGGGGGGCGGTGACGATGCGGTACGGGGGGCGGCCGCTGCCACGCTTGCCACGGGGCACCCCGGGGGTCGCCGTGCCGGGGGCACCGCTGCCCGAGCCGGGCTCTGGCTCTGCGGGAAGAGAGGAAAAAAGGGGGTGTCAGGGGGTGGGATGTCACCCCCCGCTCCAAAACCCCCCAAATCAGCGTTGGGGGCTGTGCTGTGGGTGTTCTGCCCTGCAGAAATGGGGGTCATTGCCCCACTGTGGCTCTGGGTGTCCCCAACAACCCCTGGGGACACTCGCCCGAGGGCCCCCCAGCTGGCACCCCTGCCTGGCACCCCCGCTTGGAGCCCTGAGGAAAAGCACAGCTGGAATGGGGAAGGGGAGAGGATGAGGGTGGGGGGCACCCCGGCACGGGGGGGTTGGCACCGGCGCATCCCTGGGGACAGTGGGAGCTCTGGGAGCTGCTTCAGCCTGAGAGGGTCCCCGTGGTCTGCTGTGAGCCTGGGGGGCTCAGCGAACCTCCCTTGGCTTGAGGGGGTCTCCCTTCTCCAAGGATTTCCTGGAGCCCTGGGGAGCTCCAGGGTTTCTCTTGGCCCAAGAGGGACTCCCTGGTTGCCTCTCCCAGTCCAAGAGGGGCTCCATGGTCTGCCGTGGTTCCAGAGGGGCTCTGGAGCTTCCCTTTGCCTTGGGGGACCTCCACAGGCCCCCTTGATCCAAGAGGGGTCTCCATGGGCTCCTTTGGAGTGAGAGGGTCTCTCCAGGATCTCCCTTAAACCTTGGGGAGCTCCAGAGTTTCCCTTGACCCACAAGGATCTTCATGGTCACCTCTCAATCCAAGAGTATTTCCATGTTTGGCTCTCTCAGTCCAAGAGGTTCTCCTTGGTTGCATGGCTAAATCCAAGAGATCTCCATGTTTTCCCCTCTCAGTCCAAGAAGATCTCCATGGTCACCTCTCCAGGAGTATTTCCATGTTTGCCTCTCTCAATCCAGAAGGATCTTCATGGTTGCATGGCTAAATCCAAGAGATCTCCATGGCTGCCCCTCTCAATCCAAGAGTATTTCTATGGTCTCCTCTCAATCCAAGAGTATTTCCATGTTTGGCTCTCTCAGTCCAACAGGTTCTCCTTGGTTGCATGGCTAAATCCAAGAGATCTCCATGGCTGCCCCTCTCAATCCAAGAGTATTTCCATGGTTGCCCCTCTCAGTCCAAGAGTATTTCCATGGTTGCCTCTCTCAGTCCAAGAGTATTTTCATGGTCACCTCTCAATCCAAGAGATCTCCATGGTTTCCCCTCTCAGTCCAAGCAGGTCTCTGAGCTCTCCCGTGCCCCGGAGCTCTCCGGTGCCCTGTCCTGGTGGCTCCAGCCCCCCGTGCTCCGCGCCCGCTCCCGGGGGTGCCGCGGCGCTCCAGGCTCATGCGGGGCGGGGCGGGGGTGGTTACCTGGCCAGATGATGGCTTCCAGCAAGGTGACCCTTCTAGCCAGGACCTCCAGCCGGGCCTGCTGCCGCAGGAGGGTTTGGAAGCTACTGGCCTGGGGGAGAGGGAGAGAGCAGAGCAGAGCAGAGCGCGTTGGCCCCGCGGCGGGCACGGGGACACGGCACGGGGACACGGCAGGGGTGGCACAGCATGGTGGGGGCACGGCAGGGGTGCAGCCCCAGCAGGATGGGGGTACTGGGGCGCGAGAAGGGGGTGCCAGGTCTCCTAGGAGGGCCTTCCCAGTCTCAGAGGGGTGCCAGGGGCTCCCCCATCCCTACGGGGACAGGGAGGGCCCCTTGTGCTGGCTTGATGTCCCTGGCAGTGCCCTGACGGGGACACTGATGTCCCTGACCTGGGGGTGCTCCCTCAGCCACACCCAGAATGCTGAGCTCCCCGACATTTGGGGAGACACTGATGTCCCCAGCTGGGGGTGGTCCCTCTGCCACCCCCAGCACACTGAGCTCTCCAAAATGTGGGGGGACACATCCCCAAACTTCTCAGAGAGTGGCTGGCATGTCCCCAACACTGAGACTGCCACAGGTGTCCCTGCCCGAGGGGGGCAGTGCCTGGGGGGGGACTCTGGGGTGCCCAGCTGGGGGTGAGGGTGGGGGCACCCTGGTGGCCCTTCCTTTGAGTGGCTGCAGTGCTGGCCACGATGCCACCATGTGGGTGATGACATCATGCATGGCTGATGTCATCATGGCCAAGGACCACCGTGATGTCATGGGGGTCTGGTGACCTCCTGGCAGGGATGGGGGTCACCCCCTGGAAGGGGTGGGCCTGCTGTCCCTGTCCCCCATGGCACGAGGAGGGGCTGCCGAGGGTGCCCTCCCTGCAGCTCCATGACATCAGTGAGCCAAGGGCCACCGTGACGTCACGGGGACCCGGTGACCTGCTGGCAGGGGTGGGGGTCACCCCGGGGGTCCCCGTCCCCCTACTCACCGTAGAGCCCAATCATTGTTTCCAAGATTAAAACCCTCTCCGCTAAAATCTTCAGCGCCTCGCGGAGCTGGTGCAAACCCTCCCCCTGGGGAAGAGAGGGACGGGGTCAGGGGGGCTGCACCCCACATGGCTCCAGGCCACCCCCGGGGGGGACACGGGGACCCCCTGACTCACCACAACACCAGGGGAAGGAGAGGAGGAACCCCCGGGGGTCTGAGCCCACCCTGTGCCCCACCACCCAGTTTGGGTGACATTGGCACTGGGTGACATTGGCCAGGGACGCCCAGAGCCACCTTTGGGGTGCTGGGGATGAGGCATGGCACTGGGCAGAGCTGGGGACACCCAGGACGTCACTGGGGACCCAGGGACAAGCTGTGGGGCAGTGGGAACAAGTGGGGACCCTGAGGACATCACTGGGGTCCCCGAGATGCAGAGGACAGCAGGGAGGGTGTCAGGGTCCTCCCGTGCCCACCCCCCTCCCAAGCCCCGCTGCCAGTCCCGCGTGTCCCTCCGGTCCCCGGTGCCACTCACCCAAGTGCCCCTCTCGCCCGGCTCGCCCCGGGGGCCCGGCTCGCCCTGAAACACAGAGAGGAGAGGGGCTGGCAGGGGGGGCACGGGGGGCTGCGGCTGGGGGGGGCCCCCCACCCACGTACCTGCGCCCCGTCCTGCCCGCGGCTGCCCGGGTGGCCCTGGGGACCCTGCGGGGGGACAGAGCCCATCGGCACCGGGGGCACGGCCGCTCCCCCACCAGGGGAGATGCTGGCAGAGCCCATGGCTGAGACCCCACAGCAGACCCCAAACCCCCCCATTACCGCACACCAAACCCCCCAACCCCTCCATGTCCCCACACCAGAGCCCCCAAACCCCCCCATTACCACACACCAACCCCCCCAACCCACAACCCCTAAACTTCCCATGGTCTTGAACCCCCAAATCTCCCCATGGCCGCACACCAGTTCCCTCCCTCTCAGCCCCAAACCCGGCCTCACCCCCCCACATCTCCCCCCAGCCCTGAAGCCCACCCCCTAAACACCCCCATGGCCCCCAACCCCATTCTGGGGGTGGCTTTGGAGGAGGGGGCACAATCCTGGGGACACTGCCCACATCCACAGCCCATGGCCGGGTCCCCAGGGACTCTGGGGACAGGGGCTTGGGGCCACCCAGCAGGGAAGGGTTGTCTGGAGCAGAGGTGACCCCCAAACCACTCCCTGCGTTGCCCCCCCACCCTGACACGGCCACCACAGGGGACACCAGCAGCTGCCCGGGTGGCCCTGGGGACCCTACGGGGACACAGAGGCTTTCAGAACTCCTGGGAGGCAGGGCCAGCCCCCCCTGGCTGACACCCCCAGCCGCTGTCACAGTGTGGGGCTGGGGGCACTCACCCTGTCCCCCTTCTCCCCGGGGGGCCCGGCGGCTCCGGGCGCTCCTGCCCTGCCCTGTGCGGGGACAAGGTGGGGACATCAGCCCTGGGGGGACACGGGGGCTCAGCCCTGCCGTGCCCCCCACCCCAGCACTTACATCGGGTCCTGGAGGCCCGGGGGGACCAATGGGACCTGGGGGGCCGGGGGGACCTGCAAGGACAGGGACACAGCTCAGCCCCGCACTGGGGCACCCGAAAGCGCTGGGGGTGACAAAGGAGAGGGGACACCCTCACCCATCGGCCCCACGGGTCCGGGGGGTCCCATGGGACCCATGATGCTCCTGGTGGCTTCGGTGAAGGTGTTGGAGAGGATGGGATCCCCTGGGGGGAGAATGGAGGGGGTGTTTGGGGCTGGGCCCCCGTGACCCCCGGCATCACCTGGGGACATGGGGGGACCACATTCCCCTGCCCTGTGTGTCTCGTCCCTGTCACCCCAATGATAGCAGGAGGTCCCCAGCGCTTCCCAGCACCCCACACCTCATTGCTGGCACCCCAATGTCGGCAATGGGTGCCCTGCAGTGCCCGGTGGCCCGCACCTCATTCCTGGAATCCTGGGGGTGTCAGGGGTCCCTGCTGTGCCCAGTGCCCCACACCTCATCCCCGGGACCCCAGAGATGGCCTGGGGGTCCCCAGCTGTGCCCAGTGCCCCACACCTCATCCCTGGGACCCCAGACATGGCCTGGGGGTCCCCAGCTGTGCCCAGTGCCCCACATGTCATCCCCAGGACCCCAGTGACACCCAGGATGTCCCCACACCACCCCCAGCCCAGGTGATGCTCAAACCCCCCAACCCGGCCCTGCCCCAGCCCAGTCCCGTTCTCGGGGTGACTGGGAGGGGACCCCAGCCCAGCCCCCCTTACTGGGCTCGGCCAGCCGGGGAATCGCCGGCCCCACAGGGGCAGGGGGGCCCGGGGGGCCGGGGGGCCCGGGGGATCCCTTCTCTCCAGGGAGCCCCCTGGCTCCATCCCGGCCGGGTGGTCCTGGGGGGCCGGGGGGACCTGCAGGGAGGAAGAGGAGGGTGAACATTGGGGCTGTGCAGCGCTGGAGCCCTTCCGAGCCCCCAGACTGCTGCCTGATGGGCCCCCCAAATCTGCCCACCAGGAAAGGGGGGGCTCGGCTGGGCCAAGCACCAGGCTGGGGTCCCCCCACACTGTCCCCCTGTACCTGGTGGCCCCGCCGGACCCTTCACTCCAGGAATTCCTGAGGGTCCCCGTCCTCCCGCGTCGCCCTTGGGGCCGGGGGGTCCCCTCCAGCCGGGTCTCCCTGCAGCACAGCAGCACCCTGAGGGGGGGACCCCGGGGACAGCCCCTCGGGGTGCCCCCCACCCACACCCGGTCCCCCACCGCCTCCGCAGAGCTGCCTGTCCCCGCGGGTGGCTCAGTGTCACCACTGGGAGCAGCTGCGGTGGGACAGCTTTGCTTTTCCCCCAAAGTGAGGGGTCCTGCCTCCCAAATATTGACAACACGCAGGTGCGTTCCCAGCCCTGCGGGTGCTGCCAGGCGGCACTGTCACTGTCACTGTCACCCCGCCTTACCGTCATCCCCGGGGCTCCCGCGGGCGGCCGGGGACCCCCAGAGCTGCCCGGCCTCGGGCCCCCTGCCCGGGCTGCTGCCTTTGGGCGCTGCGGGCACGGGGGGCTCGGCCACCGCCAGCCGGGCCACCTGCCAAAGACACGGGGCGGTGGGTGACAGCAAGGGCCACGAGGTGACCCCCCAGGGCTCTTGTGCCCCTCGGCAGGAGCAGGGGGAGGTGGCCAGAGCCCAAGCTGGGACTTGCCTGTGCCTCGAGGGAGGCGAGCCGGGCTGTCAGCTCCCCGACACGGCTGCAGTTCAGGCACCCTGCGAGGGGAAATTGGGGGGCACAGGCGGTGGGGTGGGGGGCAGCCGGCCCTCTGTGCCCAGCCCAGCGGGTTTGGGGAGGGACCCACCTGAGAAGGCCGTGGGGTGCAGGGGGGGCCGGCGGGGGGCGGCGCTGGGGCGCCCGGCGTCCCGCAGGGTGAGGGAGGTGTGAGCCTCTGCCGAGGAAAGGGGGGTCAGCACGGGGGCACCCCCCCGTGGGGCATCGCCTCCTGTGGGAGACCTTCCTGTTGTACTTCCCTCTAACACACTGCGGGGTGCAGGGCCCCATCCTTGCTCTGGGTGAGCCTCAGAGCCCGAGTCCCACCCACAACCCTGAGTCAGGATCCCCCAAACCCACCCACGGTCTTGAACCAGCCCCCCAAAACCCTCCATGGCCCCACACCAGATGGCCCCAACCCACAACCCCCAAACCCACCCACGGTCCTTAACCCTTAACCAGACCCCCCAAATCTCCCCATGACCACTCCCCTCCAATCTCAGCCCCAAACCCAGCCCCCCCCAATTCCCCCCTCAGCCCTGAACCCCAACCCCCAAACATCCCCACGGCCCCCAGCCCCATTCCGGGGGTGGCTTTGGAGGGGGGCACAATCCTGGGGACACTGCCCACAGCCACCTCCCATGATGGGGTCTCAGTCCCCTGTCCCCACCAAGGGATCCTGGGGACAGCGGCTTGGGGCCACCCAGCACGGCAGGAAAGGGGTGTGTGGAGCAGAGGTGGCCCCCTGAGCCCCCCCACGCTGTCACCCCACCCACGCTGTCACCCCACCCCAGCACGGCCACCCCGTGCTGCAGGGGACAGCCCTAAGTGGGGCCAGATGTGGGGCAGGCGGCCAAGCACGCAGGGAGGAGGAGGAGGAGGAGAAAGAGGGGGAGGAAGAGGAGGAGGAAGAACTCCCCGCCTCCCCCAGCGCTGCGCCCACCCAGCTGCCTCCGGACCCCCCGTGTCACCCTGTGCCCTGCAGACCCTTGGTGCCACCCCACGGTGTCCCCACCCCTGGGTGCCACCCGCTGCCCTCACAGCCCTGGATCCATGGAGGTGGGGCCGGGCTGGGACCCGCAGGGGGGTCCTGGGGGAGCAGGAAGAGGAGGAGGAGGAGGATGTGGTGACAATGGGGACAAAGACCCCCCTGTCAGAGCTGGCAGTGCCCAAGCACGGCACAGCCTCGCACCCATTCATTCACTGCCCACCCACACCCCGCCACTCGTGGCTGGGGGGCTGCACCTCCCTCATGGGCACTGCCATGCTGAGGAATGTCCATCTGTCCATCCACCCACACCCCGTCCATTGGCTTTTTCAGTTCCCCACCCCAGGCACATCCTGCTGCCCCCCTCACTCCTGTCCCCCTGACTGTCCATCCACCACCCCACCCAGGGATCTCCATCCATCCATCCGTCCATCCATCCCTCCATCCATCCATCCGTCCATCCATCCCTCCATCCATCCATCCGTCCATCCATCCCTCCATCCATCCATCCGTCCATCCATCCCTCCATCCATCCATCCGTCCATCCATCCCTCCATCCATCCATCCGTCCATCCATCCCTCCATCCATCCATCCGTCCATCCATCCCTCCATCCATCCATCCGTCCATCCATCCCTCCATCCATCCATCCGTCCATCCATCCCTCCATCCATCCATCCGTCCATCCATCCCTCCATCCATCCATCCATCTATCCATCCATCATCCATCCATCCCACCTACCCAGATGTCCTTCTCCTCGCCCACCCTCACCAGTGACACTGAAGGTCGTGTCCCACAGCCCCTGGGTGCCACCTCCCCGCCCTGCAGGTCCCCATCCAGGCCAGCTCCCACCTTCCTCGCAGTTGACGCCGGCGTGTCCGGGGCAGCAGCGCCACTCCAGCGCCGTCAGTGTCCTGTAGGTCACCCTGTAGAGGGGCCGCACCACGGCGCGGTAGCTGCGGCACAGAGGGGAGCACTCACACCCGTCCTGGGGACATCCCGGCTGTCCCTGCTGCCAGGGGACCCCGGTGGCCCCACTCACCTGCCCCCACTGCAGGCCAGGGGCCAGCGGCAGCCCTGGAAGACCCTCTGGAGGAAGGTGCCGTTCTGGACGTGGCACGACACCGTCCGTGTCACCGTGTAGGAGCACCAGTTGCTGGAAGGGAAACCACTGATGTCACCAGGGACACCCAGGGACACCATGGGGGTGCTGCCACCCGGGAGGATGCCCATCCTCGGTTTTTGGGGTGCCCACGGGGAGCCCTGCTGTGACGCGTGGGGCTGCACATTCCTGCTGCATTCCCGACAGTGCTGGCACCGGCTGGCCTGCAGCGGGCCTGGAGCCCCCCCGCGCCCCCAGCCCACCCCACACAAAGGCTCCTTTCTTCTGCCCCACATGCCAGGCTCTGCCCACCCCTCCCCGGGCACGCCAGCCTCGGTTCCCCCCCCCAGAAGGGGACACACCGGTGCCATGACACTGACTGTCCCCATCCCCACAGCGGGAAGGACTCGCCGTACCCTCGGCGGCTCTAAATTCAAAGGCTGCACAATTTGGGTCAAAAAATGAGCTTTTCGGGACCGCTGCAGTGCTGCAAGGAGGGAGGCGGTGGCAGCAGGGACAAGCGGGCGCCGCGGGGGGACAATTGTCTGGGAGGTGCCGGAGGCGGGGGGGACAGCGGAGTGGCACAGGGCTTTCCGGCTGGGCAGCGTCCCAGGCGGGCACCGTGCCAGGGCTGTGGAAGCACAGAGCCCGCCGGGGCTGTCGCCACGCTCCCGCTGCCACCCTGCCATGCCAAGGGGTCCCGGGTGGCATTGTCCCCCTTGGAGGGGTACCCAGCTGCTGGGCAGTGCCAGCTCCAGCTGTGGAAATGCCTGTTGGGATGGGATGGGACGGGATGGGGATGGGTCCCGGCTCGTTTCGCAAGGGGAATGCCCTCCCAGGAGCGGGGCAGGAGCTGGCAGGATTTGGCATGTGAGCGCCCGCGCGGCCTGGCGTGACCCCAGCCCACCCGGTACCGCTCTGGCACCGAGGGGGTCCGGGCTCTGCTGCCAGGGCTTGTACCCACCCGGGGCAAAGCCCACACCAGGTTTGGCTCCGAATCCCATTCCCATTCCCCAAATCAGCCGCTTGGCTTTGTGCCCCCGGCTTGGGCACGTGGGATCCCAGCGAAGCGTCAGGGAGGGATGGGGTGGGATGGGTGGGATGGGT